TCTCTCTCTCTCTCTCTCTCTCTCTCTCTCTCTCTCTCTCCGAGCAAGAAGCTACTCTGTGTGTGTGTGTGTTTGCACCCCTTTTTAGCATGGTCAGAGCGTGGTTGCCATCAAGACATCCATGCAGAAATGGCGAAAGTTGAGTGGTGTTGCTAGACCATGTCTTTGTTTGCAGGGAATCTACGTCTATGCTGCAATAGCCAAGTAGTTTACTATAAGCCCAAATAGGGTGGTTTCTGGAGACAAGCATCACCCTATCCAACCCAATGGACCTTAACCTGCTCCGCTGTCTTACCTGAAGTGTCTATGCTACATTGCTGGATTCGCCCGCCTAACCTTTTCTGTGGCCTGCATCATTGTCATCCCTGTCAACCACCGCGCTGAGCCATTCAAGTTTGCAAGCTGGCTTTCCATGCCAATCAGGTTTCCATTGCTGCCGAAGAGGATGGAGCTCGCTGTTGTTTCGAAAAGAAAAGCAGCTAATCCAAAGGTTGGCCTTGTTCCATCCTGAAGCTGAGTGGAGGATAGAGAGTCCCTTCTGTGCTCAAGTCAATTGAATGCGAGGACGAAAGACATTCATCCTCAGGTGTCTAAAGTACTGGGCAACAACTTGAAGGGGTAATGTGTCTGCCTATCAATGGATGGGGTTTGGTGAGCGCTGGCGTTATAGGATGGGGTTTGGTGAGCCCTGTTGCTTCCGGTGGACACGCTGTTTACTCCAGAGAAGACCCTTCTGTTCCCACATGAAACCCGCTGGCTGACGTTAAGATTCTGCTGGTTCCATATGGGACCATTCCAGTTTCAGTTGACACCCTCGTTGAGACCATGCCAGTTGCACATAAGACCCTGCTGGTCCCAATTAACCCTTCTGGTCCCAATTAACCCTTCTGGTCCCAATTAACCCTTCGGGTCCCAATTAACTCTTCCGGTACCGGTTGACCCTTCTGGTACCAGTTGAGAACCAGGTTGGAGTCCCAAACCCACTGTATAGGCCAGTTGGAAACCCCGTTGCTTCCGGTGGACATGCTGTTTGTTCCGGAGAAGACCCTTCTGGTCCTCCTTGAAACCTGCTGGCTCATACGCTGGACACGGTTTCCAGCAGGTGCAGCTCCCCACCAATGGAATGGAGCCATCTTAGAGCGGGAGCAGTAGAGGGGGTGTCTGCTCTTACCAGCACCACCCTCCCCTCCCCGTTGCTGATGTTCTTTTTTTGTCGGTTCGGAAAATAGTGGGCCTCCGACCTTTCAGGAGGCCGAAACGAAACGACGGCCGCTGATCAGATTTATCAACGGTAGACGTTGTCGGGCCTGGCCGCCTAAAAGTTCAGGAATAGGCTAAAACTTGCCGAAACGAAACGGCGAAGGTACTTGTGGTTTCAAGGGCGACGGCGTTCAGATATCATCTGAAGGTATCTGGACTCGAACTTGAGCCTGTATTTCAACAGGTCAGGGGTGTACCAACTGAGCTAGGCCCATCGCCGATGGTTTTTTGTTTTTTTGTTTTTTTTTTTAAAGAAAGAAAAGAAGAAACCCGCTGGCTCACGTTAATAAGACCCTGCTGGTTCCATATGAGACCATTCCGGTTTCAATTGACACCCTGGTTGAGACCATGCCAGTTGCACATAAGACCCTTCTGGTCCCAGTTAACCTTCTGGTCCCAATTAACCCTTCTTGTCCCAATTAACCCTTCTGGTCCCAATTAACCCTTCCGGTACCAGTTGATCCTTCTGGCACCAGTTGTGAACCTAATTGAAGTCCCAAACCCACAACTGTGCCTCACCGAGTGCAGTTTCCTGAGGCAATGTTGATGAACTGCTCCTTGCGTCTCAGGTCTGTACCAGTCCTGCTTAAACGACTAGTGGTCACGATGCATGTGAATTTGTGAAACCTAGTGGAGTTTTTTTTTTTTTTTTTTTTTTTTTTCCACTTACCCTTCTTCTCCTTTCTTATTTTGGGAATAATTTTGAAATGCCCCTCCGACTTCCATTTATTTGCGATATGCCCCTCCGACGGCCGACATACCCTGTCCCGCCCCTCTGCCAATGATTGAAGTTTCCGAAAAACCCCTGGCATCGCTTGGGCCTGAAGTCTGTTGGATATCACCCTACCGTAACTGGTTCCAAATTAAAATTTTCCAGTATGCCCCGGTAGCTCCCCTCTCAGGGCCAGGGGCCAATGGCCACAGGGGCATGCTGGAAAGTTGCATTCCTCACTGACAGGGGCATGCTGGAAAGTTGCACCCCTCACTGACAGGGGCCTGCAGGAAACTTCAGAGGCCCCAGGGGCATGACAGGGTAAGTCGGCCATCGGAGGGGCATACCGCAAATAAATGGAAGTCGAAGGGGCATTTCAAAAATTTCCCCTTTCCGATCTTTTCATTCCTAAATTTGGACCATTTCTCGATTTATGCGTGTCATCCTTGCGCAGGGGCCATGCTAATCTTCTCTGCATCGTCCAATTTTAACGGATGTCCCGAAGGATGAGTAGAGGTATTTGCACACAGCGCGGAGGGTACTGCAGTGTTTCCTCGGTGCCCAAGGTCTGGGCTTAGACATGTTTGGGTCCGCAGATTTGCAATAGCGGTTTAAGACCAGTCGGGACTTTAGGCTTTATGGGTTGCATGGACGGTTCAGTTTTCTTTACATCGAAGTTAAT